CACATCTGTTCCAGACGGAGACTCTTTTGAAAATGGAAAACCACTGAACCGGATGATTCGTAGCAGTAAACCCATCGTGCTAACCTGTGATAGGAGGCTAAAGCAGCTCCCGGCTCAGTGTAGCTATGGATGTGTGTGTTACCATAGAGCTGCTTAGGAACAGAAATGAACCAGTCAGGAAGTAGGCCGTCTCTCTGCGCGTCTCTCGTCGGGTCTCCTGTGCTCGTCCATCAGCGAGTGTCACTGCAGGGTGGAGTTTGCTCACCATAACGTCTCGTACGCAGATAATTAACAGCCAAACCTTCAGCGCAAAACACAACCTGTGCACATTTGTAGCAGCTGACTGTCACACCCAGCACACGTTCCAAGTGAAAGCAAGTTGAGTGAGATCTGATTTTAAAAGCTTTCGGAGGCGTTGATTGTAATAAAAGGTTCAGAAAACAATCTTTGGATGTGCATAGGCGACTTAACTTGGTGGACAGCCTAATCCAAGATGGCCGCCACAGCCTTAGGAAGCACGTAAATGGCCGTAACGCTAACTTTTATGTGTGTTTCATATGATGTGCTTTAAGCACAACCACATCCCACAAGGTCTCAGCGTAATGCTTGTCGACAAGGTCGTGTGCAAGATTTGACCAAAACATCTGCCCCATCTCTTCTCAGCGAGGCTAAAGCTCCGGTGTGGAAGGCAGCGGGCGATATGCATTCTTTGCAGGAACGCTGAACCTTTTTTTTTTACTTTATTTTCTGAAACCGACTGTGTTCTTCTTCGTAAAACAAAAAGAACAATTTTAGTTCGACCTGAACACTGTCGTTTTTGTTTTGATTCATCTTCCACCGTCCCGTAAAAGACGAGTCGACTTCTTCCAGGAATGAACACAAAGTGAGCCGGACGGCCTCGGGAGTGTTTCTGCTCTCACAGGGACGGACGACGCTTCTGCTCGTGTTCACTCGTGAAGTTTACAAAGCAGTCGGGCAGAGATCAGCTGTCCGTCCCTCCTGCACGGATACTGATACAAACACGCAGCTTTCCCAGCAGCGGCAGGTGCACGCCGAAGTTTGGTGTGGTTTGAGAGTCCAACTGACTGAAAAGGCGGCTGTTTCACATGTGCGCACGCACACACACACACACACACACACTCACACTGACAGACAGACACAACAGCCGACAAACTCAGCAATGGTGCAAAAACTCTGGGGGACTTGGCAGCAGATGTTTTCTGGATTTGGCCTCTGACCAAAACAATAAAATGTAACTTCTTCTTTTTACCACTTGACGTTTGGTTGATCACAGTAAACCATCTCAGTATTCACATGAACACACAGCAAGAGGTGGAACGTCTGCTCTGCTGGCACAGGAAGTTGTGGCGTTAACATCATTGCCTGTGTCTCTCTGTGCATGTGTGTCCGTTAGGAAAACATCTCATGAACCAATAAATTAATTTTAAATGTAAATTTCAACTGAATAACTTCAACCTGATGAGATGGTCGACCCTAATGGCTATTCACCCAGTTTTACTTATATTGAGCTAAAATCTGGTGTGGTAGTAGCTGAGACTTATCCCTAACGCATGCTCGTATATACTGTGTGCATACAAGTCATTATGTAAATAAACCAAGTATTACAATGATCTGTTACCTTTTCAATTAGTTTATTTTGTTGCATTGAATCATAAATGCAATGCAGTCGTCCCTCGTTTATTGTGGGGGATCCGTACCCTGAAGCCCCGAGACAAATGAAAAACCACAAAGTAGGACTAGTAGTACAAGTAGTAAGTAGTAGTTTATTTTAGTATTTATATATTTATATATATTAAGGCGTTTTAAGTCCTTCCCACACTCTTGCAACATTCTAAACAATGTTTCTAAACTCTCTAAAAGAGCACAGCATGTCATGATTTCAGCTCTCTGCCTCCTCTGCTCTTTGCCACCAACAAGCGTTCTTGGCCACGCCCACTTCTCCGTTCTGCATGGAGAGCAGCTGATCAGCTGCAGCAGGAAGTTTGTCCTGCAGTATGGGCTGCAGGAGGTGCTAAATATTTTAAAATAACTTATTTTAAATAAAAAAAACTCCATGCCGATTATATGGCTCATCCATCAGTCACACAGGCTCATGTCACAAGATGCTACACTCGGTCAGTTCTGTGAGTCACTCTCAGCTACTACCACACCAAGCTGTTGGTCAATATCTGTAACAATGGCCGAGTTATAGCTATATATTTCTGTGTCTGTGGTCAGTTGGCTATGGCAGCCATCTTGAATCTGGTTGCTTCCAATTATCCGTCACGCAGTCACTCTTGGTGTCTTTACTTTGGTCACAACAAAATGTCGTGAACTCAGAACTTTCAGTTTCAACAAAACTGTGCCAGTAAAATAAAAGAGCAACTGAAGTATTGTGATGAGAGAAGGATTCAAAGAGTTAATATTTCCACTTTATTTCAGCTGTTGGCATAAAACAAGGTAGATTTTTAAAAATGGATGTTTGTAAATGTGAACTGAAGCCAATGGGAACCCAGTGAACCTGGACCAGCACCATGCTGGTCTCGTTGTGTGAGAAAGGCCTTGTAGCTCTCCGGTTCGTGCTCCCAGGCTGCACCTGTTATCTGAGAGCAGCTACAGGTTGTCTTCTTCTTGTTGTTGTTGTTGGAGGGGTTTCCAGAATAAGCAGTGGACGATGATTCAGCTCAAATATTTCATTGTAAAAGCTCAGCGGTGTATTTTTCAGGCGTCTCGTACGCCTGATCTTGGGTGGGGCTCAGCGTTGCTCCTAATGACGAATCAGATCAAGTGTTGTGCAGAAATGATGTTTCGTTCAAGCTGGAGGTGATGGTCGATCTCTTGAAACTAAACGTAAAAGCTAATCGCAACAAAAGGGAAACCACAGCAACTGCAGTTTATTTGGCTACGTTTAGCTTTAGCTACGGTTTTGCTAATTTGAGCTTCTTTTCTGCTCATTTTAATGTTGACGTTTAAGTTTCAGCCGTCATTCAGAACTTTTCCAAATTAGCACTGTCTGGTTGAGGTGTCGGGCAGCGTCTGGCACCAGGCTGCGGGTGCTAAATCCTCTGGGTCTGGTGGCCCGTGGGCTCCACGGCTGAGCTTTTGTCCCACAGAGGAGCAATTAACTGTGCTGAGTGGAGTTTTGGTGGTGAACGCAGCGGGTTTGTAGAGTTTCATGAGTTGCTCCTGTTTTTGAGATGTAAGATTTTGTTCTGTTGGGGGAGGGTGCTGCCATTATTCTGCCATAAAGGAACTGCGGTCGACCTATACCAGTGCGTACTTTGAATAAAATAAATTACGTTCTCATTTGAATTAAAAACAAAACATTACACAAGTTTTACCAGCAAATTATTAAAATGCTTTGCAAATTTCAATGGTATCCACTTTACCTGTACAAGGTTTATTGGTTTATTATGAACAAAAAGCTTGGATATCTACCAACATACTTATTGTCTCATTTAAAGAAAACATTGTTTTTAACCTGTTTTTATGTGTTTTGAAATATAAAAATGTCAAACATATATAAAAAAAACTTGTTTTGGATTAAAAGTTGTCTGTCTAATGCAATGGTTCCCAACACTGGTCCTTGAGGAACACCTTCCTGCACATTTTTAGTTGCTTCTCTGCTCCAGCACGCCTGATTCAGTGCTTTAATTACTTAAGTATGGCAGAAGCCTGTTAATCATCCTTTCATTCAAATCTGGTGTGTTGGAGCAGAGAAACAACTAAAACATGCAGGATGGTGTTCCTCAGGGACCAGCGTTGGGAACCACTAGAATATGGCAAAGTGGATCTTTACCTAGGATGCCTTGCATATAAGGTTGTTGAGATTATTTAATTCATGATGGCTAAAAAAAAAAAAACAACTTTTTTTTATTTTGTAAAATATATTAAAGACCCTGTAAAAGTGATATGGATCGTGAGTTTACAAAGAGACTGTTTACGTTTAAACCTTCAAAACACAACATGAGGTCATCTGTGTTTGCACAAATCCAGTCCAAATGGGTTTTAACACATGTTAAAGTCTGCTAAATCTTTACAGAGTTTCCTCCTAGTGCGTTTTATTTTAAACCACAGATAATCAACATTAGCCGATACAGACATTCTTATAACTCGGTCCATTTTACACAAATTGAGCTACAGTTTGTTGTGGAAGTCTCACGAGATGTTCCTGCGGTGGCCATCTTTAAATATAGCTCTGTCATGAAAGGCAGTGGGCGATATGCATTCTTTCAAGGAACCCTAAGCCTTTAATGATTGTCAGAATGAGGTTCATTTCATGTATGAGAGCTTCTATTGCAGTTTATATTAGTTTGTACCGTGAAGCTTTTAAACAAACCCCCTGGAAGCGCAACAAGCTGCTCAAGCAGCAGAAAACATCCTGACAGGACGGAGTGAAAGCACAGAATGATGTGAACGCTTGAGTAATCGTGCTGACTAATTTGTCATGTTTATGTAGGAGCCAAAGCTGCTCCCAGAGTTATAGCTGTTTGTGAGATTACCCTTCTCGTTGCGTGTCGTTCTCTGTAACTCATCGCTCTTTTGTTTTCTGCCGTCTCATTTAGTCCGGAGCTTATTACCGAAGCAGCAGCGAGGCTTATTTAGGAGGTGCTGAATGCAAAGCAACTGTCAGCGCTTTTGTCACCGGCTCTGGTGCTTCCTTTAAATAGAGACGAAACGAGCACAAAGGCATACGAGTTTAATTAAAGGACTTAAAATGTGAGAATCTTTGGGCTTTTTGACCCTTTAATGGTGTTGCACATGCAGATATGACGATTATCTTCAGTGAGAAAAAGAACGACAGGTCATGCAAATCCTTCACCTCGAAGGGCTGTGTGAGACGAGAGGTACTTTTTCTCTAGACCTCAGCTAATAGGAGGTGTGTGTGTGTGTGTGTGTGTGTGTTGTGGGAGGAGACAGGAGTGTGTGCGTGAGACAGGGGGAGGGGGAAGAGAGCGAGAGGATTTGTGGCATGTAGTTAGTCAGCTGTCATTAGATGCAGATGACACACACACACAGAGGCAACCTCACAGAGAAGAGTGGGAATTTGAATGTGTGTGTGACGGTCACGTGCGTGTGTGTTTGGTGTGAAAACCATTGCATCGGCCTGGTCGATATGAGATGTTTGTCAGGCGCCTGGCTGGGTTTGGACTTCTTCAGTCAAAACAAAGGTAAGTTACTTTAAGAATGTGTACGGCTTCAGCGTGATGGCACATTTAAAGGCACAGTCCAGAGAATTCACTCCTCAAGTTTCATGTACTGCGTAGAATTACTGCGTTTGGATGTAATTCCACAGCTAAAAACATGGTTTCAGCTACAGAATGTGTACCAAGCTAAAGGTAATGAGCGCTCTGCTTTGGAACAGGATTTTTTTAGTGTAATCATGACCTGAAGGAAAATATGATTGTTTTAATCACACAAGTCAACGTGATAGATTATCTGAAACTTGTGTTCACTGAAAGAAAAAAGAAATGCAGAGCTTGAGCTGCTCGGTTATCTTTATGTTTCTGTTTTATCTAACAAGTTTGATGCTCGCAGTCGGTGTGCCTGTCCTACTCGGGCTCGGACTTTGAGCTGTCATGAATTGTTATTGTGGTTTTGACTGTGTGTGTGTGTGTGTGTGTGTGTGTGAGGGGAGTGGTTATGAATGACTGCTCACACTCAGAGTGCGCAGTCAGCAGGCTTCAAGCTGCTCTGTCACCTAAGGTCTAATCATCCAACTGTTTACTCAGTTTGCTCGGCTTCAAAAACAACCGTTGTCCAAAATTCAGCCAATTAGCAGCAGGTTCACAGAATCCATGGACGGGCGTCAGGCGGCGGCCACTCGCCAAGAATCAAGTTCAAGAGTCAAGTTTCCTAATAAGTTAAAGTTTAGAAAGTGTTGCTCTGAATGCACCAATGATTTGGCAGATTCATCATTTACAAAATTATATTATTGGTTTGTTTATTTGCCTTTTGCTGCCTGAAAAGTCATTTGAGCTACACCTGTTGTTCCAGGGAGTTCAGGTGAAAATGGGTGGCAAAGACAAAACTAAAGGTTTAATTAAAATTATTCCTTTTTAAAATAAATTAAGACATAAATGATCCAGAGGAGAAAAATACTTTCAAGACATTCACCATCAGGAAACTAGCTAAATATATGTTTAAATAAAAGCAGTTTTAGTTTTATTTTATTTTGGTAGACTCCGTTTAGCACATCAGGAGTTTTGAAGGGATTTTAAATAAAAATGCAGAAATGTTCCTGTTTTTAGTGTTTTGCACCCTTTTATAATGTAGCTTGTTTATTTATTTTGTTCTATATCACTTTTATTTACGTTCATTTTATATGCTTCTTGCGTGCACCTCATTAAAACGGGTCTCTCTTGTTAACGAGTTCCTCGTGACTCAATGAGACTAACCTGTTTATAAATAAAGGTTGGACGAGAGTCACGGCTCATTTTTAGCAAACGAAGCAGTAAAAAATAAGAACAGAAACATGAACGCTGTAAATGCACTGATTCTTTGAATGAAGTCTAGTCACTTACGATAACGGTGCTAGTTGATAAAATTAAAGTCAAGGGATGTAAGTTTGTTTCTTATCTAACAATAAGCTCGCAGTAAACAGCAAATATGCATGTTATTATCTGGAAAGTTGAAAAGTGGATGATATTTTTTATAATGTTTGTCATTTCAGCAGTTCATCCCGTTAAGTCGGGGATATTCAACTATTAACTACTCAGGGGGGCCACAGTTACTGAAAGCCAAGAGCTCAGAGGTCGAACATCCAGCAGTTATCGTCATTAAGTTCGTTTTATGGTTTAAAATCTAGTTTTATTTAAAATGAACCCATTGATGGGCCGAACCGAGTTCATCCGTGGGCCTGATTTGGCCCCCGGGCCACCGGTTGAATAGCCCTGCGTTAATTAGTGGGCGGAGTTTAATTAAACTCCCAGAAAGTAATCACTGGATGTACTGATTAACTTTTACAGTCAGCCCAGTTTCAAATGGCCACCACAGCAAACACATACATGAATATAAATCATTTCATTCCACAGATATTGAGTTAAATCTGCTGTGGTAGTAGCTGTGAGTCATGCATTTATTTATCGCTTTAAATATGTTAAGTTAAATGAATTAAATCCTTGTAGCGGCTCAGAGTCCACCGAGCAAAACCCCTGAAACGAGTCAAAGAAATAAAGCTGAATTAACGGTTCGTGATTTGTCATTTGCTCCAATTCGTTTGTTAAATATGCGTTCAAGCCGCAGTTGTTCTACAACCTGACGCATTTGGTTTAAGAATCTTAACAGGTTTCAAACACTTACAGATATATTTGTGAAGTTAAGGAACATTGTTGTTGTTCCCTTAAGAGCCCAAACAACAAAAAAAGGCAGTTTGACGGAGTCGCCCAGCTCTGACCGTACGCTCATTTTATTGTCACCGACTCTCTGGAGCAGCGCTGCCGTCAAACAGCGTGGTGGAGTTTGACCTGCTGGCCAGTAGGACGGTGCAGAACTCTTGCAATATCTCTTGTTAACATTAGATTACATATTTTGACGCGAACCAGTTTCATCGTTATGCATTGCGTCTCCGTGCACAAGTCAAAGTCTTTGTTTCTGCACATGCGGCACACCGACCCGTCGGACACGTTTCCAAACTTTCCTGATTTGTGTTTCCAGAGATATCAGGCCACCAGCCTGGTGTTACGAAAGAACTGGAACGTGATCTGAAGATGTAGAAATCATGCGCATGGAGTCTGTGTGCAGATTGAGACACTGTGTGTGTGTGTGTGTGTGTGTGTGTTGGCAATGCAACGCTGCAGTTTATTACAACGAAGACACCAGGGTCCCTGACAATAAGCAGAGACCTTACCCTGCCTCCGCTTCTCTGGCTCTTCAACTTTCATTCTGGTTTTCTGAGAGCGCTCTCTCATGCATGTTGGATATTTTTTGCATGTTTAGGGGTTTTGACTGTTTTATTTCCTGTCCTACAACGTACGCAATGTTTAGGTGCTTTTACACCCAGCAGTCACCAACGATTCTCCAAACCAGAAGACGCACGTGTTTGACTGCATTTGTGGAGATGAGTAGAATATTAGGAGGTTTTTTTTGTTGTTGTTTGTTTTGTGTGACCACGTAGAGGAGTTTTGATTTGGTGTGCATGCTCTCAGAACAAAATAACATCCGGGCATGCATGTTCAATGATATTGATTCTGGTCTATAATCAATCATGCTCTCAGATTACATGAAGCTGAACATGCAGAGTAATGAGCAGCTGCTAGTTGAGGGGCCTGCAAACAAACCATCGACCGTTTGTTTGATTGTGCCTCCAATTTTGATGCTGTTTTTGCCTCAAATCACTTTTAAATCAAATAACCACCTGATTTTCTGCATAAAGTGCTCTTTTTATTTTCTTATGTTCTCAGTTTCCAAGGGAATTATATGTAGTCTTTTGTTTTTCCCCAAAAAGGAACCGCTTTTAATTGATTCCGTAGCTGCTGACAACAATGATGTAAAAGTAACAAAGACTAGAAAGTGCAACAGTCCTCTGGTGACACTCATGCTGTTATTCAAATACCAATTAGTCTTATTTGTTTAGACGAAGAAGGTTGCAGTGGGGTTGACCTTTTAGCACAAAAGGTTAGCAATTGTTGAAGTGGGTCAATTTGTACAGCTTGGATTTTATTTGGCTTCACTTCTCGGCACACATGCACATTTGCTTTCCATTCCAGCGCATGAGTGTCAGAAGTCTTTGGGAACTCTGGCGAATCAATAAAAGGAGGTGCGAGCTCGCCCCGTGCACTTCTGTCTCGTTGCTTTGCATGCGTTTGATTTGTCAGAGTGATCGTTTTGCATGAAATATGGAACGACCCACGGTCAAAGCTGCAACAGCAATGTGAACGTGCAACAGTGTCGTTCTCTGGCAAAACGTAACGAGGACATTTAAAGGGCTCCGGTCTTCATGTTTCAGTTTATACATCATCACGATGTTCAAAAGATCAAAGAAAACTGCACAAAACTTCCTAATTATGACGCTTGCTCAGCGCTAAATACTTTAACAAAAGTAAAATTCCTTGACGTAATTCATATCAGCCTTTAGTGACGTCCCGATACCAGCCCAAAGTACTTATACTCATAAAAAACACCCCAATGCATCAGACCAATACTGTTTTTATACTTGGTGACATCATTTCCTCTTCCACTTTGTAAGTAACCGAGGACGGACAATAAAAAATGTCCATAGTTTAGAGATATTTGACAATACACGATGTTAAGACAGCAGACTGTTTGCTGTATTCTTAATAAAAGAAATATTTCCAAAGTCATTATATTGTTTAAGCTCAAACTAAGTATCACCAGGTACCAAAACTGAAGTACTGAAAAAAAGCTAGTATTGATTAAGTCAGTATTGATTAATAAAGTATTTTTGAATTGAATTGAACACCCCCTACTGACTGCTTTGCGTGCTATATTTTAAACAAAAATGTTGCTCGATCTGCCACTACTACACCAGATTATAACTCGATATATGTAGATCTAACTAAAACCTCATCCACATGGGAAAACTGCTTTGTGAATTTTGTTTCCCAACAGTTTCAGCCTCGCATCCACATGAAAACGTTGGTTACGTACTGTAACCCCAGATTCTATGAATATAAGCGTAGCCCTTTAAGGCCTTCGCTTTAGTGGGTTTATCCCGTTATGCAGAGCATAAGCACTGAAAAAAATTAGTCCACGCCCACCCGCTGTGTGGGCCCTACCCGGTCCGTATAAATTACGTTAAGAGCGGGAAATCGGCTCCCAAAATAGCTTTTTTCTTCAGCCATTTAGGAGCCAGTGAGGCCCGACGCTTAAAGGGCTACGCTTATATTCATAGAATCTGGGGTTACAGTACGTAACCAACGTTCTATGTCATATAAGCTTCGCCCTTTAAGGCCTTCGCTTTAGTGGGTAAAGGGCGAAGCCGATGTGGTCCTCGCCTCACTGGGTCCATTCGAACACAGTAAGAAGCGGAAGCTTGCCCAAAAAACGTCTTGTCACTCAGCTCCCCATGTGCATAACTACGCATCGCGTAATTATGTGCCATGCACAGACGCATGTTGTGTAGCTATGCGTTCTGACAAAGCATGAATACCCCGGAAAACTTTCAACGGGAAGAAGAAGTTGAAAAGAGGGGGGGGGGGGGGGGCATGAA